GGATTCGACACGGGTGCGACACACGCGCGACACACGCGAACGCTTCGCGAACGCTTCGCGAACGCTTCGCGGACGCTTGCGAACGCTTTAACAACGATCGCGGGTCAACGCCTGGACCCCTGGACCCCAACCTTTAAAACGAGAACCCTTCTGCTACGCATTCGGGAAAAATTCAAGTCTGAACTCTGATGGCTCGCACCTGTTGGTCGCGCTGATGCAGAGCATCAGGTCATCTGTGGACTCCTTGTGCTCTGGCCCCTCCAAGTACCTGCTGCTCTGAGCAACTTAGGCTTCAGGGCCACTCCAAACTGGGCCCTCAATCGTGATTGAAGAGATCTGCGCGACAACGTGACCTAGCGATCTTATATCTCGATTGCTATCTTTTGATGCATCGCATCAGAGCGTCTTCCACTGCACTGTGGTAGACCGGAGTGCAGTGCACTGTATCATGGCACGTGCTACCAGGTTTTCACTAGCACAATTTGGAATGAGTTCTAGTATATAAACCCCGCAGCATTCGAGGCCCCGCACTTGGAACCACGACCACGCAGGCGAATCTTCACGGAACCGTCGCCCTCGATGATGCCTCGGTGGTCGGAGATTACGCTCTTGCTGCAAAGCATAGAAGAAAGCCTTTCCCAATAAAACGTAGCCTACCCCTACATACTATTTTTTGATACCATGCTACAATCTGTTTTCATGAACTGGACTGGACTGCTGGCTAGATGTACAAAACACTGTGAATCACTCTCCTACATCAATTGATCTGATGCTTCGAGAAGGACGTTCCAACAACTAAGGGAGTTCACAAATAATTGACTCTTGCCACGGCACGCTTCATGTTCTCGCCACCCGGGCCAATGATGCGTCTGCACACCTTCTGACTGTCCACTGACTTTGGGCACTCTGCCCAAGGGCTGCACCCCTGGCTGATAGCAACCCCAATATTAGACAAACTACACCACACTCACCAGGCAGTTCTCATGAAGATTCCCGTCGGTTTGGCCCGGCCTGGAAAGTGTAGTCCTCTTCGATGCCCACCTTCACTCGGCAGAGGTACTTGCCTCCTGGCGGGCTTGCACTTTGCAACCTTGCCACATCCCAACAACCAGCGGCACCGCTTGGCTGCGGCGTTGCGGGGGCTCATGTGCACCGCCGCTACCGTAAATCTGTGTGAGCCTCCGGTCCCTGCTCCGCTCTTCTCTTGTCCACGCTTGCCTTGCGCAAAGGAGCTTACAGAGGGAGAGGAAATGAGAGGAAGAGCAGGAAGGGCCGGCAAAGCGACGATGGCAACTACATCCACTGCAAATCATGGCAACCGCCAAAGCCACGCCAGCAGATCTCTTTCTGAGGTCCCGGCCTTTGGCAGGGGCAGCTCCAGCTTGGTTTCCCGATTTGTTGGGGGACGGTCCTGGAACTCGAGCAATTACAGGGACGCTCACGCGACTGCGGGTGGCAATGATGCACAGCAAAATCCAATTTAAACTCGCATTCGGCTTCAGATAAGATGAGGCAGGGATGCTCAACCCATCTCTGAACCGTCCTGCGCCGATGTTGCCAGGCTGTTCCACCGTGCAAGCAGAGCTGCGATTGCCCTGCCAATGCAGTTCGGCCACTGCGATGGAGCCCGTAAGGCAAGCCTAGAGAACCCTTATGGTAACCCTGACAGAAACCTTGTGGTCGTCCTTATAGTAACCCTCATAGGATCCAATGGTAGCCCTGCTAGAACCCAAACTGGACTCCCATCGTACCCCGAACAGAACCCTGATGGTGACCCTTACATCAATCGTATGGTAAGCCTTGTAGCAACCTCATGGCAACCCTTACAGTACTGGCTATAGGATCCTGAGTTCGGCTTGAAACCCTCTGATGGCCTGGGCTTGCAGGAGCTGCTTCGTCTTGCTTGGAGGAATCGGCAGTGGGCCTCAGTAATTCCGCGAAGCTGAAGCAGTTCAGGCTTCAGGGTTTAGGATGAAGGGTTTAGGATTCAGGGTTTAGGGCAGTTTAGGGTCTAATCCTCTCCGTCCAGCCGCCATCCCTCAAGCCAGTGCCTCCATGAAACGTTCACGAAACCCACCCAGCCCAAGCTAATGTAAGGTACAGACCATATAAGGGATAGTAGTACATGGTCCTGCTACTGCTTGCGATACAAAAAATGCAGGACACATGCGGAACCACCTCTTTCAGAGCTCCTTTTCATGATGCGACTGTACAAGCATCTGGGTCGCAGGAGGTCGTTCGGCCACGGTCCCATCAGGTCTCGTCGTGTCCGGGCACCTCCTCCGGGTCTCTGGGAGCCTCCGGGGAAGTCTGAGAAACTTTTGCGTGAGATGCTAGTGAAAGCCACACGCCCTAAACCCTAAACCCGAAACCCCTAAACCCTACCCTTAGCCCCTAAACCCTAAACCCCTAAACCCCCAAACCCTATACCCTTAGCCACCCCGGCCTCCTCCCAGAGCGCGCCCGGCGGCACCTCCCCGAGGAGCCGAAACCAACAGCGGCTGCCCTTCACGCGGCCCGCCGAAAGCTCCTGCGCACGTAAAGGTGCTTGGGGATTTCATAGGGTTTAGGGCTTTGGGATTTAGGCTTGGGTTGAGCGCTTATAGGTTTTAGGGTTTGGGGGCTTAGGGCTTTGGGGTTTGGGGTTTAGGGTTTAAGGTTTTGGGTGTAGAGTTGGGTTTAGGGCTTAGGGTTTGGGGTTTAGGGTTGAAGGCGTAGGGACCTGAATGGACTCAGGGATTGCAAACTGCAGTCTTTTCGGCTTTGTGCTGCAATGGTCGGCGGCATGTTGCTCACATCACTCATCACTCGCACTGGCCTGTATTGCCTTCTTATCAGCCTTCACGCTCAGAAATACAGTATCCACTACAGTGTGAAACAGTAGCAACTGACAGAAAAGGAGCAACGGATGCAATTGTGCTGATGCACAAAGCCAGCACGAACGGTGAGCGAAGTCCAATTGCTGGCGAACTTGCAATGAGAGCTTGCACAAACAAACGACGGCCCAAATCAGCACCACTCATAATGCAGATGGCAACCAACATAAGCATGGTGACAGTCGTCGTTGCAGTAACATGCACTCTGCACAGCAGCCATGGGTTGCGTAAACAGAACCATGATAGGAGCAAGCACCATCATGCGAGCTCTTCATGTAACACAAGCTTGTTTCTTCAACATCCGATCCTAAAGCTCAACTACTAAATCCCCTAAGGCATCGAACCCCGAAACCCCCTGCCAGGGCCTGGGATCGGAGCTTGGCTTCGGAATGAGTCGCCCGCAGCACATCCATGACGATGACCTCACCGAGGATCTGGGCCTTGGGCCTCTCAGCTCTAGACTCCAAGCCGTGGTTTAGCAGTGGCTTTTTTCGACAGAAGAGCCGTCAGCAATAACAGTACGATCAAAGCACCCCGAAGAAGTGGAAGAGGGAAAAGATGCGAGCCAAGTGTCTGGGCGATCTGCCACTGCCCTTTCGCCCCATCGGAGGATGCCTGAGGTTCTGGTCAGAGCAGTCCTGACACTAGAGAAGTTCGCGACAAGCACGGCGGCTCAAAAGTTGACGATGTCAACTCCTGATAGCACTGGCAAATTAAATTGCAAAACAGAGCGATCACGATTGGCTGAAGAGAGTGGTTGAAACTTAGACTTCATTGCTCTTCCCTCCTGCGTTGAGCCAAGGAGCAGTACACCTCCCGTGACGGATCCCCAGGCTCACTGGCCACCTGCTCAAAGGTCAAGTCGTGAGGGTTGCTGGAGGACTGTAGTTGTGGGTATTTACGGCATGCCAGCCGCGCAATGCAACACAGCTATTTGGCACTTCCATCGCTTGCCATGCTGGTGATTGGATCGTGGATGGACGGTCCTCAACACAAGCAACCGGATTGCAATGGCATGCCCTGCGTTTGCGACTGAACGCGGTGATGCGGTGATGGAATGGAGTATGCTATCGCATGCTACGTTGCAGGAGGGCATACTACACATAACACAATTTTTGTTCAACCCCGCCTCAGTAGCAGGACTTTCACCCAGCGCCTTCAGTGCAGCCTGCAGGTAGGAAGAAGAGTAGTAGCAGGACTAGGGAGAGGCCTGGAGCGAATGCAAAACTTGTCATCCCTATCCGATAGTAGTAGTAGTAGTAGTAGTAGTAGTAGTGCTTGTCACGGTGATGTGCAGCGAGGCCTCTGGATCAAATAAAAGGCGAGTTTGCTCCACCGGGGCATTCTTGTCCTCCAGTGCTCGGATGAAGGTGCACTGCAACTCCACCATTCCTGGGCCCAGATATGCCCAATGGAAGCTTCCGAGACATGTCTCGATGCAAGCTGTGCTAAGCCGTCAAACTCACCAACTTTCCAACACAGACGAGTACTCGACTTGGACCCAAGTTCAATGCCAATTAGAAGATTTTAGTGCTGAGACCCACTCTCTTCACACCTTGCGTCGGTGGAAAGGGGCCAGCAACAGCGATTTCAGCTCCGCCCCGCGATGGCCTTCCAGTGCCCAAAGCGCCTGGGGGCAGGAGAACGCATCTGGGAATCCGGTAGAGCAAGTCTTAACCCTGAGTGACAGCAGAGAATCCCAGCCTTGTCCCTTCCCTTTGCTCACCTCGCAGAAAAGAAGCACTCCCCAAACCAGCCTCGGCCACTGCTTCGACCGTCGACAGGCAGCCCTGTTCGGGCTGCTTCCGGAAGCGGTAGCCGCTGTGGCCGGAGGGCCTCTGGATGGTCAGGAAAAGTTGTCCGGGGCCATTGCGGGCAGCGGGACTTTGGCGAACACGCGTTGGCTTTGGGCAGCAGCCCAGAGCCGCCCAAAAAAAGGGCCCCCGGGGGCGGGGGGGGGGGGGGGGTCCGGAGCCTGATCACAGCGCGAGGGACATGCTCGCGCAGCCAGGGGGAGCGCATCACCATGCCCTTGGCCTCACAGGGAAAGCTGGACCCTTCATTTTGAGAGTTTGGGTTCAGGGTCTGTCGGGTTAGGGTTCAGGGTTTAGAGTTCAGACAGCTCTCTCTGTTTGCTAACGGCTCAACCGGGAAGCTACGCCGTCCGGTTGCACGTCAAACGGGGCCTGTCGCCAGGTCCCGTCGATGAAAATCAGAGAGGCTTTCGTGTCCAGGTCCGACGCATCCTGGAGCAAGCGATGTCTTCATTCATGTACCGACTGTGCCTGCCCTGTAGGTGGCCTCCACCGGATCCGTGGTAGACGTCTCCACCGGTGCGAGCTCTTTGGCGTCTGGACCAGGACACAAGAACATGGGCCTCGGTCGATTTGCAGCCAGTCTCACACAGGAGCACACGAGAAACCACTGGCTGAGTTGTTTAAGTCAGCCTTGAGCATGGCTGCTCCAGCTACCGACAACAGGCTACAATCAAGACCACTCGCCTCGTTTCGCCACAGACCCACTTGCTCTCTTTCTCTCTCGCTGGGGTCCTAGCTGGTGGCCCCCCTCTGCCAGGAGCTCGTGAAGCTCTGGGTCCTCTGCAGCGACGACAGACTCAGCTGCCCTCAAGCTATCCGCAACCTTGGGGTCCCCACTCAAGCAGAGACAGTCCTCGCTGGGCTCTGGAAAGTGCTCGCCTTCCCTGGCAGGTTCAGAGAGGCGGAGTCGCTCCAAACGTGAGCTTTCTCCCTACTTGTGGCAAGTGGCCAAGGACCTCAGACACAAGACCACCTGCGCGAATCTGCAAGCTGCAAAGCAAAAACACTCACCCTGACCCTGCCTAATCACCAAGTCCTGGAGGCAAAGCCTAAGCTGCCACAGGGCCACTGTACCGCGAGCAGTGGATCTCCGTCTCTCTTCGGTTTCCATGCTGCTGCAGTGCTTTTGCGGGAAGAGTCGTTAAAGAGAGACCACAACTTGACATGCCACCCATATGCTAAGGGGGCTTCCGCAAAACTTGCCCCTCTCTGCAACTACTTCACGAAGACTCATCGATGATGTCATAGAGAGTCGTATCCGACACCTACAGGCCCCAATCCGCGCAGAAGAACACAAAGCCGATCACCAGTCACAGGCCCAGGTACCTCAGGAGCGGCAGGGTGCCCAACTTTCTCTTGATCTCCTTGGGGTGGACTAAGATCACGATGCGCGTCCGCGTCCAGAGGGGGCGGTCTGACGGAAGCACATCACCTCAATTATCTCACAGTGGTTGGCTCCGGACAATCTAGGCTTCGACAAGGAAGGACCGTTTGAGTTGCACGGGGCCGACAGCTTTATAAGATTGCAAGAAATTTGTACAGTACGCATCGTATAATTTGTTACGATGTATTCTTTAAGTCACTTGCACAAACATAATCTAGTAAATCTAGTAATATTCGAGATCTGGCAATATCCAAAACACCATCCGCCTGAGCTGGCCAAGACGCACAGGCACAGCTTCTGCGGGCGAAGGCAGCTGTCACACACCGCCTCCCATCCGAGGGGCTTTGCTCTCCCGGGCTCAACGAAGAAGCATCGTAATCACGTCAAGCACTACAGGCATGAGCGCGAGCGGTCATGCGGAACCGGCTCTGGCGAATACCAGCACAGACGAGCCCTGTAAGACAGGAACCGCAGACGAATTACTGCCTTGAAGCCTCGGAGAGGTGCAATAAGATTGCCAATGTCAGAAGACGAGGCTGCAAAAGCAGTATTCGGTAAGTGCCAGTACCACTCAAACAACTGAATCTGTCTGTTATTAGTATAAAAGCATCTATGGCAACGGATTCCAGAGCAAAAAGGACTTCGTGTCCATGCATCGCATCAAATTGACACCCCGCCCGGGCAGCTCTCGCAGCAGATGCCATGCCGGAAGCGGCGAAGCGTTTCAAGGCTAAGGATCTAGGACCTAGGATTGAGTGTGGCTCTCCCTGCTCCGATAGGAGCTACTTGATCTCCTTCGTTGTTTGGGTGGCGAGGCATGTCTGATTCTCCTCGAGTTCGTGGGCTTGGGGCTGCTAGGGTTGCTTAAGTCATTGAGCAGACAATAAGCTCGGCTGATGGGCCAAAGCCCAAGGGCATAGTCCCTGATGAGAGCCATCGAGCACACCAGTTTTGAGATGTCGGACGAACACCAGTTGCCTGTGGCAAACACCAAGTACCACAAAGGCCCCGAATGAAGCTGCAATCTGACCACCGAGCTGCCCTCCGACAGTCCCAAGACTGCAGACCATGAACCCCTTTTGTCCTGCTCACTTCCTTCAGCTAAGCCCGCAGCCGGGAGCTGCCGGCCTGATTCAAGGCTCTCTTACGTGTGAGAGCGGGCTTCGATTCGACTTCCCAAGTCAGGTACACGTCAAAATAGGCAGGAAGCTGCAGAAGGCAAGAGTTGCCAGGATCCGCTGGGCTGCTGGGTGTCTCGGCCTTGGTTCACTCTGCTTCCCCAACTCCTCTTCAACCTGCTCCTGAGGCCAGGCCAAAACAAAGGGGCGCGCTGCTACTGTACTGCTCTACTGGTGCACAGATAGGACGACCAGGATAGACCCTGAAGCCGCACCTTTGGCTGCACAGCCGGCTTCTTCGGAGGGAGGGTGCTGGCCGCGGCGGTGGCTGGCTCGCCTTGCCAGGCCATCTCAGTGAGGGCAAGAGTTTGCTGCACGTGGGCACAGGACGGCCTTGACCAAACTTCGGCCGGACTTGGCAGAGCTGCTCGTAGGCCTCTACACTTTGAGGGGAGGGGGGGGGCCACTGCGGAGTGTCTTGCAGGCCATCGCACCTGACGAAATCGATGCTTCTCGATGAGGTCGTCAGCTCGGTCACAGATGTCCTCGAAGTTGGCCAGGTCCACCTTGAAAACATAGAGCCCCCTAATATAAAGAAAGAGGCTAAGTATAGCATCACCAAACCTGCCTTCGACAAGCCCAGCATTTCGTAGGTCGCGGTCTCTCCGCGCACGTCGCCTCATGTGACACTCGTGGGCAGCTGTCGGAGGAACAGCGCTTTGCTTTCAACATCCTACCATCTTGACCAAGCCCCCTGCCATCTTGCCAGCTTAGAACGCGGCCTCGGAGGCTGTCAAGGGAGGAAACCGGGACTGGGCGGGAGTTCCACGAGCTAGGCCACATATTGTGTACGAATCTTATAGCAACCCTCCGGCGAGGAGAACCATAAAAAGTGTGGACAAAGCTTGACAAGGAGAAGTGGAACCAGATGCCAACGGTTCTGAAACTCCCAGTTAGGGAACCGGGTTGGGTCCTGGTTTGATGAGTCTGAACATGGCTGAGGCCGCAGCTTCGGGTCATGCAAGGTGCAGTGTTTAGAGCAACCCTCTGCAGTTTCTTGAGGCTGTAGCCTCAATACACTGTCGGGGACGAAGCAGCAGCAGGTGCAGCAGCAGCAGCAATGGCAGTGGTTTTCCAGCTTTTCGAAAGAAGAGCAGGAGCAGGAGAGGTAGCAGTAGGTTGCAGTTTCGTTACACCACCGAGGTCCCGGCCCATGGACTTGAGGAATGCCAGCATTCTGCAGGTCATTCCTGGCCGCAACTTTTTTTTTAAACTTGAGCCACCCCTCCCCTCGGGACCAGACCTTGCTGCTGGAAGGGGTCGACCTCAAAATCGCATGGAAGGCGGGAGACTTTAGAAATTCGCGTTCCGGATACGGGGAGGGCAGACTATTTCAGAAACCGTCATTCTCGGCATTTTTGCCGACCATGGCATCTCATCTAGAACACTGACGCACAAGACGGCAGAATCTCACGCGACCTGTCTGAGGCCAGGTGCATCGTCGAAGCAGAGCTCGCAGAACTGGCGGACCTCGTCGTGAAGCTGGCGGAGCCGAACCTTCGTCACCCGGCTGGCCCCAATTCGACAGCTTCCAAAACCTTCAAGAGCTCAACACACCGCCTCGCGGCTGGGTTTGCGGAAGCAGGGTCGCCTTGGTGGCTGTGCCTGCGATAAGAAGAGGGTAGACCTCTGAACCCTAAACCCTAAACCCAAGCATCTCAGAGCCCCGGAGAGCCCCCAAAACAGCGGCCTCCTTGGAAGATTTCCGCGTGGCTGGCGACTCCAAACTCTCCGAGGACAGCGAGCCTCTCGACGCCGCTGAGACTTTTTGAGATTGCGAGTTTGGCGGTTCAAAAATGCTTTAGGGAGTGTAGGGTTTTGAAAGGTTTTAGGGTACAGGGTTTAGGGTTTAGGGCTTGGAGCTGCGGAGTCAATAAGGAAGCCTTTTTGTGTGGGCCCTGAAAGTCACGATTCCCATCAGGGTCCAGGGTCTCCGAAGCTGCCTTTCTTGGCAGACTCGGCTTCAAGCTTTCTACATTGGGGACCTGGGATGAATTGAGCTTCAGGTCTTAGCTTTTAAACGGAGAGCCCCACGAAGGCTCCAGCTATCTGCATACTACACTGTATTAGTGACCTATACTGCAACTAAACTGAATCCCCAGATCTAACCTTATAGCAGCTGTCCATTGTGAGTAGATGTGAGACGTAAGGGCAGAGCTAATCAGAGAAGCAAAGCTGACTGCAGATCGAATGAAGTGAGGGCAGTGTGCCATACAATGAAGAGCAACGGCCCATTGACATGATACGGTCAACTGAAGGTGCAAGTAAATCTTGTCTAAGCCGAGCGACAAACAACGTTTATTAGCACAGTCAAGCATGAGCGAGTCATTGAAAAGTCCGTTACTAACAGCATGGCAGGTACAGTATACAATGGCATTGTCTTGCACTTCTCCGAGGTTGATGCTGGCGATGACAGTCACAATAACACTGCCTGCCACGATGAATACTGAGGGCGGCGAGGCAGGTGTGCCGGATAAGGACGACAACAAAGAGGGCGAGGCTGAGGAGGAGGAGGAGCAGGAGGAGGAGGAGGAGTATGGTTCTTCTATCTTCTTCTTAGTGACATGGCCAATTCCAGCCCGCTTGGAGTGCCAACGATGCCGATTTGCACCGGGCTCCGAGCTGGTGGACGTGTGGGCCGGGCTAGGCCTGGCAATTGCACAGGCCAGCAGCATCTGTTTCCACATGTCTGATGTATTACTTGCAAAAACCTAACTATATCTAACTATCTACCTATCTGTCTCTGCGCATCTTCTTCTGTGTGCATGTATGTGCTTGTGTCTGCATGCCATCGCCATCATCTATTCGGGATGGCACTGTTGATCAACATACACTACCACACATGTATCTGCATGCGTGTATATACACACACACACGCAGAGCGTACTAGTAGATGTTGCACCAGATGTCTGCTACACACAACTCTTCATGGACAAGACTGATGTCTAGTTTGTACACCACCTTTTGACTGCGACGTACTACTTCATGCTACCACTCAACACTGGCTATGCCTGTATCTCGTTTATGTACCAGCGTTCAGTACTGTATGTTACTCTAAGGTCTACCGAAACTCTTCAATCTTACTCGGCCATTGCGATTCAATAATGTACTAGAACATACTAGAACACTCCTCAATGTTTGAACTTTCTATGTGCACCCATAGGAGGCCCATATCCATTGTAGCAAAGGAAGCTATACGATAGCCCCCTCCATCATGATACGGAGACGACTGTCTCTGTAAAATGCTACAGTATGCCATCCGAAGCCGCATAGTTGAAAGAGACCAATCACGTGTCTCAGGATGCTCGAGGGGGTCGCACTTTGGGCCGCTAGGATTAAATTCTTGTCCGCTGGGAAATAGCATGTGGGTAGTTTTCTAAATTAGGGTCCCTTTCTGGGGTCCTTTTATAAGGGTGCCGTACTATTTGGGGGACCTAAACCCTAAACCCTAATTTAGAGAACTACCCATGTGCAAGGCCTCTAACCCCGAACTCCGAACCAAAGACTGCAAACACCAAAGCCCTGAACCTCAAAAAGCCACGCTAGGCCCTAAACTAGGCTAGCGGCTACAGCCCCAAGGCCCTGAAGCCCCTTATAGTAGCCCTTGTATGATGGTAACCATGTCGTAACCCCTTCAGGAAACCCGAAGGGGAAGCCATCGCACCCCTTCGCACACCAGCGCAATAAGCCCGTCGGAGTGGCTCAGGACATGGCTCGCACCTCAGCCCGAAGACCACGACTTCGGGGATTTCTGCGGGAGCTTCAGACTAGCGGCAGTAATAGTAATAATAGCAAGAAGAACAACAATATTAATAGTAATGCTAATCATACTAATAATTACAATAGCAGGAAAAACAAATGATAACAATGATAGCAACCGTAACAGCAATAGTAATTGGGGTTGGCATGGCAGATAGAGTATCGTCACAAGCAGAGGCCTGGAGGAGGACCGGGATCCCCCAGAGCTTACATCCATTGGAATCCACTACATTTGTTCAGGGTTTAGGGTTTTGCTTTTTACATAGAGAAAGAGTCCAGGCAAAGAGTGGGGTGCGGATTTCTGTAGGTCAGGTCTTCTCCTGCCGCCGCAGCTCCACCTCAGCCCTCTGCATGGAGTTGGGACTGTCGATCTCAAGGGCATGCACCTGCAGTTGCGGTCGGCGTTCCGCACACTCTGCGAGAATACAGGCGAGAAGTGCTTTTCTCTGCCGTAGGTGGGATTGGCATCTGTCACTTCATGGACACTGGGTAACGAAGCTCGTTGAATCATGCTTACCTGCACAATTGCTGGAGACATCGCGCACATTCTGCGACCTCCTTGGACTTTTCCGTGCGAAGTCTCGGCTGCTGCCTTGAAGTTTGGCTGAGGCTCAAGCCCAAACATGCCGGAGCTTCAAGAACTGCCCAACATTTCGCATTGAGGCGTCTGCAATCTTATCTCTTGCATCCGCTGAAGCTGAGGACTCACATCTTGAAGCCAAGGTTCAGGACTTGCCGGTTGCCAAGGAGGCTCGGCGGCAAAGGGCCCTTCCAGCCCTGGCAGCAGAATACGATTTTGGCATTGCAGCCATGGTGGAAAGTGCATCTGTCCGTTGAGGCGGAGCTTTTTTGCAGGACACGAGCAATCACGGTATGTGCCGTTCATCTGCGTCACCCACGATGCACCCGAAGCGAAGCCTTGAGACAGTCTGTGCTTCCGACAAGGCCTGCTCAAGAGAGAGGCTTGCCTGGATGCGTCTGTACACTACACCGTGTTCAGAGTACTGCTGGATGCTTAGATCCAATTCGACAGGATGTACAGGCATCAACTACACCTGTACAATCAGATGCCGTAGGTTGCAAGAGCCTGACCTGCACATGGCCGTTACAACCTTTACAATTTACACATGAACACTCGCGAAACTAGAAGATGTCGTCGATGACCTCGGCCGCGAGAAAACCACCGGCGAAGCCGGCTAGGCCAGCCATACCTGCACTCATGCCGCTGCCGCCACCGTTGTTGGCGTAGTTGCCGCCTTGGTAGCCTTGGTAGGTGGGGCCAGGCTGAAGGTATCCACCGCCATAGGACGGGCCGTAGGCTGGTTGACAGGTTGGAGCATAGGCTGCACCTGCTCCGTATGGTGCGTAGGCCTGACCGTAGGGCTCCTGACCATAACCAACCGGCTTTCCTTGCACAACATGACCCGGCTGGCCCGGCTGGTATCCACCTCCATAGGGCTGCGCAGCGCCATACTGCGGCACATAAGGTGGCCGAGAGCTCTGCAAGCACCCCATTGCTATCTCAGCAACGGCTGTGTGGAGTCTGTCGTGTGCTTGTCTCGAGCCTTGATGCTGCCACGGACGGATAGGTATCACGTATGTGGCACCGATGCGGCTGACACCTGTTCTGCTGCAAATCCTTACAGCAGCCAGGGTTTTCCGTCTCAGAAAGACCTCGAACGATTGAATGTCCGTGCTGTACAGACCAAAGCACGCAGCTAGACACGGTGACAGACACTGTTGGCTGTGATTCACAGGGTACTGTACAAAACCTGCAGTGAGAGACGTGCTGGCTTTACATCGGCACATCATGTCAATTGGCATCGGTGTCAATTGGCATAGGCATCTTCACTGGACATGCAATGGCCAACATTGAGGTCACCACCAGATGTCGTCAATGACCTCGGCCGCGAGAAAGCCGCCGGCGAAGCCGGCTAGGCCAGCCATACCTGCACTCATGCCGCCGCCACCGTTGTTGGCGTAGTTCTGATTTCCAGCATATCCGCCTTGGTAGGCGGGGCCAGGCTGGTAATACGCACCAGCATGGGGACGGCACGAATCACCGTAATAGACCGGCCTCCCTTGCACAACCTGAGCACATGGTTGGCCAGGATGGTAACCAGGCTGGTAGCTCTGGTAGCCGTGGTGGCCCCCATAAGCCTGGGAGCCATACTGCGGCACGTATGGAGGTCGCGAACTTTCGCAGCAGCCCATGTTGAATGCTAGAAGCAACGAATATTTAGAGACTCGTGTTTGGGCCTCGATGGCTGCAGATTCCCATGCTACAAAAACTCATGCAAAACCTGAAGAGGTAGCCGACAACGACAGCTCAAACAACAGCTTGCGAAGTACAATGCATTATCGCTGGCGTGAATGACGCCGTGCAACAATGACCGTTTTCTGCGAAATAAACGTTCAACATCAGGTTTCACCCAGGTAGCAAGGGCGGCTCCAGTGCGATTTCGAGATACGACTGAGCTGTGCAATGCCTGCTGGTTCGTTACCTTGGCTATCTGGGGTCGCAAGCCGGTCAGCAAGCTCGCACTTCTGCGAGGCTCGGCGAAAACTGCTTCGAACTACAACTTCAAAACTTCACAAGCAGATCTCGTGCTTTGCGATGCTTCCTACCTACGTGCGACATCTACAACCTGCAACTTGCGCGACATGGCCTGTAAACCCTAAGCCACCGTCTGTGGATGGAATTCTCTGTACAGGGCGCAGGCAGAATAACCTCAGAAGATGTCGTCCATGAGCTCAGCAGCAAGAAATCCCCCAGCCAGGCCAGCGAGGCCAGCAGCAGCCGGGGAGATGCCCTGCCCGCCGTTCTGATATGGGCCTGGGCCATATCCAGGTCCGTATCCACCATAAGCTGGCCCACCGTACGGGGGCCCGTACCCAGGTCCCCCGAATCCGGGCTGGCAGTAAGGACCTTGCTGGTATGCTGGGCCGTACGGCCCTTGCTGGTACATCGGCCCGGGCATGCCTGGCATGCCTGGCTGCGCAGGCTGCGCCCAATAATTGTTTGCTTGCATGGGGCCGTTGTTGATGGGTCGGCCCTGTACGACTTGCTGCTGTGGCATTCCTGGATGATGTGGGCGTCCATATCCTGCTGGTCCAGGAGCATGTGGCATAGGCCCACTTTCGCAGCAGCCCATGGTGGTGGGGCCACCAACTGTCGCCAACTATCTGGACATTGAGATGCCAAGCTGCCGGAGAGATACAACTAACTGCGATGAATGAAGCTAGTTGGAAAATAAGGCGCATGTGATCTGCCTTTCCTGAAGCTCCATGCCTGTCAGCTACAGTACCTCACACCTCCCTGGCTTCACAATACAGGAATAAGAAACAGCCTTTCCTGAGATTACTTACAGGTATGGCTTAGATCCACAGCAAAAGTGCCGAATGGTTCCCTGAAGTCACGAACTCGCCTTCAAGGAAATCGGCTCGGCTGACTCGGCTGCTGTGAGATCCATGGAAGGCCTGCCGTCATCTGTGCCCCACAGCACGAACAACGTTTATCGTTTTCCGCCCCGCTACGCAGCACTTAGGCAGCACACCCTCCCACACCCTCACACTACTGCCGGAACACAAGGAGCCTTTCGAATCACCGTGCCGGCCTCCGTCGAGCGCATTGCATCAATTGAACTTTGGCCTTCTCCAGGAGGGCCTGGGCAACTTCGCGCGAAAACAACAACCAGCTGGCAGCATGGACTATTTTGACTGATGAAGCATGAGTCTCTTTTCGCTTTTTCCGACTGCACCCCGGAGGTGCACTGCGCCCTTCTGGTTGCAATGCCACTGTCCGAAAAGCACACACATTGACATGGCCATCGCCCCGAACACTGCAGCCGACAGTTGGTACTTGGGTGGGTGAGTGGGCGGGCGGCCCTCCTTGGAAGTCTCGTTGAGCAAGCCGTTAGACTGGGCTCCGAGCAAATGTCCTGGGGCTGTCTGTCAATGAGGTCGTTGGAGTCGACTGCGCCATTGCCTTGATGAACAAGCCATCTTGGGTATCACTCCACAAGAGGCCACTTCTGGTTGCCCTACCTAAAACGGAGGCATGACAAGGCCCGGGCAAGCTTCTCGGTCAGAAGGGAACTGACGTGAGCGACGAGACGTTCTAAAGGGGCCGCTCGGATCAGAACCTGCGCTGGATACCTTCTCCGCGCAAGTTAGAAAACTTCAGACTTCAGAAGCTCGGCGGAACTGCCAGTTTGAGCCGAAGTTGAGAAAAGATACACGCAACATGCCTGTCCTAAACCGGTCGAAGCTATATGCGAATCGACCCAACTCCTGCAGCCAGTTCAGAACTTGACGAACACACTCAAGATGCCACAATGATCATCATCGTCAATCTCCTGATCACCGTGTTCCTCATCACCCCGCAAGGACCTGCGTCTCCACGAAGTCGTAGCCCGCAACGGCCGACAAGCCCTCGGTGTGGTACCTGCGCTCTGCTATCCGAGCTTACTGGCATGCGACAGTAGTGAGACGTAGTGAGATGTAGTGACTTCGAGCTTGCCACAGAACGCGTCAAAACCATCATCAGAGTACGGGTTTGCTCGCGGTTCTGGTCTCCATCGGTCGGCAGTTCAATGGAACCCATCTGTCGCGGCAGTGCGGCAGATATCAAACTTAGACTTGGCATTCGCAGCGCAATGAACACGAATCCACTCAATCCACCGGAAGGGCACTTGCAGCTAACTTTGCCCTGGCAGCCGTTCTTTCGGAACACGGGCACCTGAGATCTGCAGATGCCTTCTGCCAAAACCGCAAAATAAGTAGATTGGCGAACGTGTTTCCTTTCATCTGCAGAATACATACCTCTGTATGTACATACATACATACATACATACATACATACATACATACATACATTCATACATTAAGTATGTGTTCCTCTATGGACCGAGTTGCGGGCATGTCGGGCTATTCTTCACACTGTTGCACCTGCGTCTCTATCCATCTGCCTGCGTTTCTGTAGTTGTGTGTAGTTGCATGCTGGTCTGTACAAGCAAGTACATATAGGAATAGTATGAATTGATGTACACACATAATGACCGTACATAGATAAATCCATCCATCCATCCATCCATCCGTTCATCCACCCACACATACGTACCTAAATACTATACATACGTACATGCGGACATATATTATAATATGCATACAGATATTCGTACTTTCATCTGCTACGGCTACAGCTACGACCACTGCCACTGCCACTGAAACCGCCATGACCACCACCACCACCGCCACCACCACCACCACCACCACCAGCACCACCACGACTATTGGCCACTGCTGTTCTGTTACAACCATCATGTTCATCATAGCGGCTGCTTTGTGCTTTTGCAGGAAACGTGATAACTTAGTTTTCGGGGTCAGGTTCTTCGTTTGTTGGGTTCGTCACGGTTTGGCTTGTTCTGAAAATGCCGGAACTAAGAACCATAGGGGGGCTAAGGTTCTTACTTTGGCGGTTGGTGGTCAATGTGTTGGATGAGGTAAACCTGACCAACATGACAGAGCCTGCTTGCCTCAGTGGCTTGATGCCTCAAGGTATTCGTTCTGCTCTTGGTAAGAACGTGGTCAAGAAGCTTAGCCTACCCTACCTGCCTAGCCGGCCAAATCAGAGGCAATGGAAATTAAAAACCTTAGGGTAGGCTAGTCTCGCCGAACAGGGTTCTTATACAGGGTTTTCACTGTACTCTATTACGACGACTACTCCTATTACTACGATTATTACTATCCATCTCTACGGGAAGTCCTGGTATCAGCACGCAAACAGGGAAAAAAATAAACTTCCCGAGGTCCCTGCAGAAACATCCCGTCCTGTGGAGCACATGCCGTCATTAGAGTTTCGGCTTTAAGGCGCAGGATACTTTCGAACACAGACTTTCTAGGGTTTGCTCATGATCTTTCAATCGAGCCAGGCTCGTCACCATGAATTGGCTGCAACGTCCTTCCAGGCCACTGGACACGTTGAAGCTGTCATCAAAGAACCTGCGCTTGCCATGGGACACGAAGTGGGATGCGCACGACTTCTGCAACGACGGCACGTTGCCCTTTGCGGTGGCATCAGTCCGGGGAGCTGGCGTGATGATGCCTGCATCATTCTCGTAAGGAAAGCCCTTGTCATTCAGGATAACCTGAAGGTCGAGACTTATCGGAAAAGATTGGAAGACAACTTGCAGATGCATGCTTCTTCCCCTGCCGAGCTGGGGCCGAGACGCCCGGATCTCGGAAGCCCAGGGAGCACTCATCCTCACAGCCGTGAATGCCCAGCGTCATTCTGACTGTGGATTTGTCGAAACTCGGCCACCGTCGACAGAAATTGCTGGCACAAGTAGAAACACGCGTAGCAACACCAGAACGACTCGTCTGTCGGCACACACTCCCCGTCACCAACAGCAAAAGGCACTCAGCCCAACAACGTCGAACGTCCAAAGCATCAGATCTTACACTCGCTGTAAACCCCAAGCCCCGGAATGCCCGGAGCAAAGGCTGGGGAGGTGGCACTCTGGAGGGAGCCACTCGTCTCAGACCTCAGAACAGAGAGCTCTGGGGGCATCGAGGATTTGGGGCTTGGCTAAACTCTTAAACATGCTCAGGGTTGCCCTTCTTCCGGCAGCTCCGGATAGTCCCTGCTTCTCTTCAGCGCGTGCCGCCTGGGTGAAGGGCTCAGCTGCATGCAGAACAAGGCCCCCCGGTCACACTCCAGGGCCGCAACCATACCATCCTGCTGCGAGCCCCAGGTTCTGCCAGCGTGGCCAGCGGAGCCTGAGGCAGGCGAGTTAGCCACAGCCTTGCACCTCCCCCACAACTTTCCTGGACCTAGAGCTTGCCAATTGCCAAGAACTAGGGTCGAGAAAAGCAGGGTGGTGCTTTTCGCTTGGTCAATCGGCAAGTGTCACATCTGTAGCACATGCAAATGTATTCTGGCCACAATCAACACATATATAATATACACACGCAGACATACTATAACCGTGATACTGACAACGAAGTGCAAACGAAGAAGCCACGGCTCCAGCGATTGCACGAGCATCAGCAACTGTCACTTCAAGAGACTACCGCTGTAGTAATCGCCTTAGCACTGCAAGCAAAGCAAACGAAACAAGTAGGTGAAGTGATTGCATGCTTGACAGTAGGAGGAACATCCAGACTGTAACCAACAAGACAACAAGAGATAGAGAGTGTCAAACCGACAATCGAATCGAATAAAAACAAACAAACAAAGCTGCACTGACAGCATCAGCGATGATGAAAAAGCAGTACGGAAGGAAGTGATAGTGGCAGTGGTAGTGGCACTAACAGTAGTAGTGGTGGTAATAGCAGTAGTAGTTGTTGTAGTAGTAGTAGTAGTAGCAGCAGTAGCAGTAGCAGTAGCAGTAGTAGCAGCAACAGCAGTAGCAGGAGTAGAAGTTGTAGGTGGTGGTCGCGGTGGTGGGCGTCGGCGGTGCTCGCCGTCGTCGTTGTGGCAGGGGTCACAAAGCCTGATAACGCTGCGCTTTCTGAGGCTCCTAGGGGTCGCGCCGCCTGCCGACCGCTGTTGGAAGAGCTTC